CGCCTAACTTTTCATCGTATTTCCGTTTCCTTTCTCTAACTTTCTCTCCTCTACCACTCAGGAAGAAAGATTCTCTCTAACTCTCTCCGTCCGTCCTTCTAGAACGTTCTCCCTTTTATTGTGGGAACAAATTAGCTTAGTTATTATCTTAAGAGGCCAAGCTTCACGCAAACTAATCTTGATTAGCCTACAAGACTGGGAATTCACGGGATAAGTGTAGCTTAACGATATTAGTTTAACTTAAGCAACACATTTCATGTTTTCTAAATCACCTAAGTGTTCAGTTCTCAAGTCCAAACGGATGAATTTGAATTTCCTTTAATTTTCTTCCTAATTCCCTATCGTCTCTCTAACTTCCTGTTTTTTCCCTAAGTCTCTCCGTCCTTCTCTCTTTTCTTCGACAAACCAATTAGCGTAGGCAACTATTAGTATGATTGGCTTAGGTGGCTAAGTTTACCTCCAACATACGGAGTAATGGTAGCTTAACGATATTACCTTTACCTAAGCAACTCATTTAATGCTTTCTAAATCACCTAAGTATTCAATTCTCAAGTCCAAAAAGTTGAATTTCAATTCGCATCATATTTCCCTTTCTTTGCCCAAACTTTCTCTTCCACCACCAGGGAAGAAAGATTTTCTCCAACCCCCTCCGTCCTTCTAGAACCTTCGCTCTTTTATTGCAGAAACTAATTAGCTGAGGCTGCTATCAGTTTCACTGGCTTAGGAGGCCAAGGTTCACTCAAACTAATCTTGCTTAGCCTCCAAGAAAGGTAATTTACGGAAAAATCGTAGCTTATCGTTAATAGTTTAACTTAAGCAACTCGTTCCATGTTATTTAAATCACCTAAGTGTTCAACTCTCATATCCAAATCGATGAATTTCAATTCCCTGTAAGCTTCATTCTATTTATCTCCCTTTTCCCCAACTATCTCTTCTAGTTCTCAGGAAAAAAGTTTCTCTCTAACTCTCTCTGCCCCGCTCCCTTTTTTCCTAGGAACTAATTAGCTTAGCCAACTAACAGTTTCATTAGCTTAAGTGGCCAAGTTTTTTTTTTGGGTAAGTAAGTCAAGTGGCCAAGTTTAACTCGAACTAATCTTGCTAAGCCTCCAGAAAAGAGATTTTACTTAGTGATTGTGCAAAACCGTATTAGTCTAACTTAAGCATCTCATTTAAAGTTTTCTAAATCACCTAAGTGTTCAATTCTCAAGTCCAAGAGGATGAACTTGAATTCCCTTTAATTTGCATCCTAATTCCCTTTAACTCTCTCTCCTACCACTCAAGAAGAAAGTTTTCCTCCAACTCTCTGCGTCTTTCTCCGACCCTCTCTCTTTTGTTCTAGGAACAAACTAGCTTAGGCAACTATTAGTTTCATTAGCCTAAGCGGCCAAGTTTAACTCGAACTAATCTTTCTTAGCCTCCATGAAAGAGAATATACGGTGCAATTGTAGCTTAACGACATTTCTTTTGCTTGAGCAACTCATTTAATGTTTTCTAAATCACCTAAGTGCTCAATTCTCAAGTCCAAAAAGATGAATTTGAATTGGCCTTAATTTTCTTCGTATTTCCATTTCTTTTCTCTAACTTTCTCCTCTACCACTCAGGAGCGAAGATTCTCTCTAACTCTCTCCGTCCTTCTAGAACGTTCCCTCTTTTATTGTAGGAACAAGTTAGCTTAGTCATTATCTTGAGAGGCCAAGTTTCAAGCAAACTAATCTTGATTAGCCTCCGAGAAAGAGAGTTTACGGAGTAACTGTAGCTTAACGATATTAGTTTAACTTAAGCAACTCATTTCATGACGGAAATATCACCTAAGTGCTCAATTCCCAAGTCCAAAAGGATGAACCATCCGATTCTCTGAAATCAAAGAGGCAGAGGTCATTCTCTGCAACAACCTCAGGGTCCAAAAAACATGATGCCCCCTGGGCCCCCAAAATCACTCTGGAAGATAAGTCAGTTATGGCCAACGATAGTGCCGATGACATTAACGTCGGCGTAGCCCTCAGTACCTGTGACATCCCTGTTCTGTATTATGTTAATTGGTCCTTAAGTTGTTTATGGTTATGTGTTTAGCATGGTTTTGTATGCCATTATGTGAAAATATGTGGTTTTGAATTTCTATCTGTTCACCGTAGGAATATCTGTTTGAATAACCTGC